CCAACATCTCTATGGGAGAGGTCATAAAATTATTTACAAATATAAGAAGAATATTATATTGAATAAAATATTTATCAATGATTTTCTTCTAATTTTTTTTTCGATCGAGTTTGAAAAAATAAAACTCTTCGCGAATAGTCTGCATAAAAAAAGTTTTACCTTTACCTCGTCGTTCAAATCCGTCAACTTTATGGACCTGACTTTAGCGAAATACGAAAATGATATGATTAGCTCCACTTTATACAAAAACATACCAATACTTTATCTCTCTTAAATTTTCACTCCTACCACTCTGAGTGTCAGCGTTGTTTATAGCCAAGTTTTAAGACTTAACAGGTTAGCATTGAAAGATAGTGACCTACGAACTGAACTAGAGAAACTGGCTAGAGCTTTAGTTATAAAAGGGTATCCGTTGAAAACCATAAACCACCAAATGATTAAAGCTTTATCATTCACGCAAAAAAAGTTTAACTTTCTCAACCAATCCAATGGTGAATTTACCGTACAAAAATGGATCTGCTCTACTAAAAAAATCTTTTTACCGATGGCATCTCACTAGTACTTCCATATGACATCACAGGCAAAAAAATAGGGAAATAACTGCTAAGCACTGGAAGATAATTAAAAAAGACCCAATGCTTGAAAAAATACTAGGAGAGAAAGCACTAAAGATCTTTTTGAGTCGTAAAACACTGAACAATTAATTGGTTCACACAAAATTTTAAGAAGAAAACTGTTATTTTAACGTCACTAGTATTATTTTATCCATTTTTTATTTGTTAATTAACTATTTTTCCTTCAATAACATTACAAAAATATTGTTTTTCGTAAATAGAAAACAAGAATGCATACTGTTGTGTCGTTACTTATCATAAAAATCTATAAAGCAGTTCTTATATATTATTATTATTTCTTAAGTAAATTATATTATCATGGCTTCCAAAAGACCTTCATCAAACAGTTTTCTCCAAAACTCTAAAAGACTCTGTCAAGAGGCAACAGTACATTTCCTATTTATCTTTTTATTTATTATTGCGCTTTGTTTCATAATAAAGATCATCCTGACTATTTTTTACGGCAAATATATCCTTAGATATTTTACATTAAGTATCCACGATATATAGGCTATATATATATATATATATATATATATATATATATATATATATATATATATATATATATATATATATATATATATATATATATATATATATATATATATATATATATATATATATATATATTTAATAGAAGTATTTGCGCCGATTGTTCGAAGATACGCTTTTTATGATTTTGACTAAATTTAGAGCAATTTCCAAGCAATGGCGCGAATAGATTCTGATGTCAAATCCAATTAATTTGTTCAACGATATTGTCTTAATGTGTTCCTGTACCAAAAATAAATACTGTGATTAATAATTTAAGAAATATGTTGTACCTATCTTTCAATGATTACAATAGATAAATAAACACTTTGGTTATTGAAAGTAATTTTTTTTTGAGATTTGAGCTTTTTCTCAGTCATACGACAAATTTAATGATTTTTCCTCATTTCGGTATCAAATGTTTTTTATTTTAAAATAATATTACTGGAGCCTTGGATCAAACAAATCCAAATCCAAAATGGTTTCCTTAAAAGATTGGGCAAAGAACTTTCTTTTCTGTAAACAAAACTACATTAAAACGTATCAATCTGATTCAAATATATATATATATATATATATATATATATATATACACTTTTTTAGTAGATCTAATGGTCGCATCACAGAGCACCACAGAAAAGCATTTAACTTGAAAGTTTACGCTTGCTTTATGTCAAAAAAAAGCCTAAAGTAGGCATCGAACCGCAGATCAGTGAATGATTCAGCATTTTTTTGGTGTTTGAGATAGGTAACAGACATGGCGCAAACTCCAAACATTGTATGTTTATACGTATGTAAAATAACGAGGCTTTGCAAAATATTGCAATGATTGGAGGCTGGAAACAAACAAGCCCTAAAATTTCATCGTCCTTTGCCCTAAACGTGAGAGCAACAAGTTGGTAAAATAATTTTTTTGCTATTCTTAACTAAATTTATATTCATCGATAAATTTTATGTTTCATAGTATTATTTTTCAGTGTTCATAAATTATGACTATATAAAGTTGATACCCCTCATTTTAAGGTGTTTCCAAATTTTATACGGTCATAATTTTTGAACGCTTAGAGATTGTAAAAGAATACCTAAAGTTTATCGATGTATATAAACTTAGTTAAAAATAGAAAAAAAAAAAATTATTTCATCATCTTGCTGCTCTCACGTTTGGGGCAGGGGAAATAATATTTTAAAGCTTTTTTATTCTCAGCCTCCAATCATTGCTACTTTTGAAAAAGCATTATTATTTGAGATAAGTAAAAACATACAAATGTTTGGATTTTACTCCATATTAGCTATCGCAAACATTAAAAAATGCTGGATCCGTTACTGCCACAGATCTCTTTTTCTGAAGCAAATTTGCTTCAGAATTAAGCGTTTAAACGCTGAAAATGTACAATAAATATTTATATACGTATAAATTTTCACCTTAAGGCAAATATCTCAAGAAAACATGTTAAAAAGAGTTGTTAAATGTAATTTCGAGATTCAGAGTTTGCAGTTAAGTATCTGTTCAAAGTTCAAATTATTAGAGCCGTTCAATAACAAGAAAACGAGAAAGCAATTGCCGTAGCTAGCTCCTTGAATCCACTCTTCTTCTTTTTTAATAGTTTTTTACAAGAACTCTTAATTTGAAGTAGCTTCTAAAGCTTCTCAAAGCTCATAAATGCTTTACGTTATCTTGAAAAATTGAATTTTTTATTACGAAATATTTTTCTTAAAACAACAAATTTCTTGATTTAAGAAAAAAAATCCTACCCTGCAATTTATTTTTAAAAACAAAATTTTTTTTGTATATTTCTTGTTATGAGAAATGAATTTCTTAAACCATGATCAATAGATTTACAATTTTGCTGTGAGTTCTGATGAGTTGTTAGCGACTTTGAAAGATTTCAGGAGTTTGAAAGATTTCAGTAATTCATTGTATCCAAAAAGTCACACCCGTAGGCATTTTTTCAAACTATGACCTAGAAACCAAAAATTAACCAGTATGGTAAAATATACAGCTCAAAACCTAGTGGCTGGTCTTTATCAATAAAAACTGCTTTCAGAAGGATTTCAGCTTTGATTCCGTTTTTACATTTTATCGGACCTTCCTTTGATTTTGAATACAGAACTTTAAATTGTGATCACGATCAAAAGATGCTCACGCCAGAACCAAACTAATCCATGATTTAACCATGATTTGAATTTCACCTCTGCAGCAGGTTCATTTTACATTTGCCAATAGTCTTGTTGATCTTAAAGGTTTAATTTAAAAATAATACAATGTAGATAAAATAAGATTTAAAATGAAACTGCCAAAAACTTATTCCATTGAATTTTGACACTTTGACATATATTTAAATTTGACATTTATTTAATTTTGACATATGATTAAATTTGACATTTTGATAAGATCAAAGTACTATTTCTATCGATTTTATTATTATTATATTTCTTCTGATTTTAAGAAAAAAATTGGTTTAGAGTTATTTTCTTTCAATTTTAAAATTAATTTTAAACCGTTTTGCGAGCCATTGTTTTTAAACAATTTGTTGATATAAATTATTCTTAAAAAATAAGACTAAAATATCAAAACTTATGAATTTAAATTTTGCTTTAAAAATTGCAGAATCAGAAAAGTTACAGGTCAAAAACCGCGTTGCCCTGGATAGAGAAATATAGTCAGCCATTCTATTGATCTCTTTGAGTTACTTATTACTCAGAATAAAAACTTGCCTAATTTTAGAAGAATGCAACTGGAATTTCATGATACTCAAGGCGTGTAAAATAGCTCCAAATTTGTTAATTTTCACCTAATGGTCTGCTGATTTCCGGCATTTGTATATATTTTTTACCACGTTTTCCTAACTTCATAACGAATTTGTGCGTTTTTAATATACCACCAGTTAACAAAATTAATAGTGATAAAAATGCACACAATCGGTATAGATAAATACATTTCATTATTTGTAATTGTTATTATATAGTTAATGATTTTTAAATTTCTACTCGCGTCGGTTGTTTGAAAATGCCCTTAAAAACTCAAAAAAATGTAAAAATTTTAAACTATAAAAGAGTGGCGCGAGTATTAATAGTCATCCAAAAAAATATAAACAATTTCATTAAAAAACAATGCCTTGGCAATATTTTATTATACTCCACGAATTAAATTTTTTTCATGAGGGTCAAAGTGGGATGGGCTAATGTTCTAAGTTCAACTTTAAGTTATATATAATTAATTGTTTAAGAATTGTTTTTATTTTGCTCTAATTCTATTGCCCTCAGCGCCAAATTTGTGGTTTGTTCTTTAAATTTATTTTTTTCTTTAAAAAAAATGTATTAGTGTTAACATTTTTTTAAGATAATGATAGGGTATTTGACTCCTAGTAGTAAGTTCTATTATTGTTGCAACTTGAACAAGGCTAGACATAGAAGTGGGTTTCTTACGCTGATTTTGATGATAAGACTCCGATGAAAGTTATACCAGAGTAGAGACCCCCACAAAAGGGTTAATAATTATAACTGATGAAAATCTTACACCAAGTTTCCTTTTTACTCAAACAGTGATTTATTTTTATGCGTATTTTTTTCTAGTTTTTTATGCGCAAATTCTAATTTTTTTGTTTTATAATACTGTTTTTGTTCAGCGATTGTTTCCACTTAATACTTTTATTGTGGTGATGTTTTTTTTAATTTTGTTTTCGTTGTTAATCCGCATTAATTGTTTGCCTTTAATTAAATTTTATGAGTTTAAGTTTAAAATTAATAAACATGAAATAAATAAATGTTTTAAAGTTAATAATGCCTAACAGACCATCGATGGCCTCTTGTTAATACTTCAAGTTTAAGGAAACCCATTGAAGCAAATAATAAAAGATGCGTTTAAATTTTTCAAACAAAAACACAAAAAATTAGAAGGTATAAAACTTAAATATATATGTATATATATTTATATATTTATAATAATAACTTTAGATAATCGCAAAAACATAATTTCATTATTCGAATAATGTAGTTTGGTATTTTTAGTTTGGCTTAGAATAGTTTGTTTATAAGTTTTTAAATGAACTGATAAAAGTTAAACAGTAAAGAAGTTTTTATTAGGAATTAATTTATTAATTTTAACAATTTCTGGAATTATTTTTATGTTTTTTTTTTAATAAATCTTTTTTTTTTTTGTAATAAACGTAAACTTTTTAACTAACATTGACGATTTTCAAACATAAATTAGAGAAATGGAGAAGAAATATTTTTTTGTAGTTTCTAGAAGTAAAACTTAATATTTAAATTTTAATTGCTTTTTAGTTTATTACTTTTGCATCTTGTACTGCTTGTAACTGTACTTTAAATCTAAAAAACAAAGATGTTTAATACTATAAAGATGCTAAAAAGATGACAACAAAGAAGTTTAAGTACAAAGAACCCATTTTAAACCTATACAAAGATGTTTATTACTAAAGAGGAGTTTAGTGCAAAGAGTATGTATAGTGCAAAGAGGATGTATAGTACTTCAAAGAATACTTTTCTATTGTTTTCCTTTTATTTTTTATTTTTAACTACCACTTCAAAAACAGCTAGAACTGAAAAAACTACAAAAAATCTGCAAAAATATTTCACTACTTCAAACCTTTTGCTAAAAGAAAAAAATTCTCTTAAAATTAAAAAGAGATCAGAATATCAAACAACTCCGTTGGTAGATATTACAAACAAGTTAAACGAATCCTTAGATATAGAACGTATTGTTTGGGAGAGAAAAAAAGAAGAATTTCTTTTTATTTTAAAAGCAATTATACCAGTTACAAGAGCAATACCAATATTAGGCAACGTAATTGACGTATTTAGTATTTGGGTTGAGCTTATAAAACCAGGGTTAAGTGTATGGGATCAAATAAAATCTCAAGTCAACAATGCAATAGAAGACCATCTCATGGATTACCATTTTTCAAATTTAGATGTTTATTGGGCTAGATTAAAATCATACACCAGAAAAAATTATAACTTGACAGAATATGAACTACGCGATATAATTTACATGAAAAGCAGATTTTTTCCTCAAACATACTCAGTATTAACGTTTGCCCCAATTAAGTTTTGTTCTGCTATTGTTGCGTACTTTACATACCTAAACGCGGTGTTTTTAGAATTAATGGAAAAAAAATTAGTTCTGATAGAAAAATATACTCTTCAATTACACAAATTTAAAGAAGAAGCAATTGATGCAGCAAAAGCACTGCATCGAAAGCGTTATGAAGAGCTAAAAGGAACTGCATACTCAAGTGGAAAAGAAACATCAACTTTAACTTTTGAAGATAATTATAAAAAACAGACGTATACTGCTCTTTTAAGTGAGGTTAAAACAAACATTTTTGATAAGATTATGAAGAGTACAACAGATATTATAATGATTGCAATGGTAGAAAAAATTAACGCATTTTTTACCCCAATATTATGTGGAGACAAATGCCCAACAAATATAACTAGATCTGACATTGAATTTGAGTATGACAGTATGTGTTTTGGAGAAATTATTACTCAGAGAAGTTTTGAGAAAGATCAAAAATGCGATTTGCCTTGTGACAACTATGGTTACAAATATGATTGGTGCGTGTTTTTTAATAAGTCAACAAACAGTTCAACAATATGGATCAACAATAGTTTAAATAAGCATATTTTTTTGTCAAACGATGAAGAGGTCAATCAATGGAAAAAATGTAAAAAGATTAACTGGGCAAAAGAATCTGGTAAAAGAAGATGCATGTTTGTTAAAAAGGTAGATGATGTTCCAGATAAATAAAAATCCAAAACAAAGAAAAAAAAAATGTTTTGGATAAAATGTTTATTGATACAGCAACATAAAACATTTAACAATATGGCATTATAAAATGTTGGAAAATAAATGAAATTCGTTTTTAAAACAAGTACCAACAAATTATTTAATTATAATAGTTGATTTAATTAAAAAATTCAACGTAAAGAAAGCTAATAATTAAACTATAATTTTTTATAGTATTTTTGTCATTTCATTTTAATGCATCTTGTTTCTATAAGAATAAAAAACATATGCTAAAAGATAAATTTTTCAGGTTTCGAAAGTTGAAATATAACCTTATTTAAATTTTTTGAAGAAATACAAAACTGTTTTACTTTTAATGTAGAGTTTTGTTTAGCAGATTCAAAACTCTTTTAAGCATGTCGTCACCTGATAAAAAAATTTAGAAAACAGCCTTTTAATATCTAGGTTTTAAAAACAGTTGAATGTTATTAACTTGTTTTAGTTTTGAAGTAGAGCTATGTAAAAATACAGTTGAGTAGTTTAATAGATTATTAAATAGGTTATTAAAAAAGTTTAAAAAGGAAATCAGATATGCTGGTATTCTTCATAAGCTCGCTAGATATGGTGAGAAAGTTTTTGAGATTATTAATTCATTTCTTTCAGGCTCATGACTTTAACATATGCAAAATTCAGTTATTTAATGCTAATATTTATGACAAAATTGATGGTATTTCTAATTTTTGACAACACTTGATTCCTTTACTTCTACTCGGATTATGTTTCACAACTCACAACCTCTTTCACAACCTCTTTCACAACCTCTTCTGAAATATATATAAAAAATTAGCATAGTTAAAATTTAAAATTAATTCTAAAAATTAGTTTAGCAAAGTTAGCATCACTCCAGATTCCAATCTATAAATTTATATATCTATTTTTTGTTCCTGTATAAAGTACGGTTGACATATTTAGACTATATTTTTTTACCTTTATCTTCTTGACAAGGTTTAAAAATTTATTCTGAATGTATTGTGTATTGTAGTTGGATCTGCTCTAGCCTTTAAGATTGAGTCTCTTTCCCATAGTTGTAAGGTAACGCTTTAACGCACGAGTACTTTCTAGATAATATTCATTAAAGTGTCTATCTTAGAGTTAAACAAACTAACAAGTTATATAATAAGTTACTTGCTAAAAAACATTTTTTTTGAAAAAATTATAACTAATTTTTGAGACGCATTAAGGAAAAAAAATTTTGAAACACGCTAAGGTGGTCCTATATTAATAAAATAAAATTTTTAAAAATTCTCTCATATTTTATAATTTGCTAATAAGAAATAGTATTTTATATTTAAAGCACAGTAAAGTTTAAATTTTTTTTGGTCAAAATTTTGAGTCCATGTACCCTAAATATGAACTTCGCGCTGCGATAAACAGCCTGTAAACTAGTAATGGTATGATCATGAAATTTTCACAGCTTTTTAATATCAGATGATTACACTCACCCTGCTAAAATCAAATAGTTTAACAAACTATTAAAGCATTTGTAAGAAACTGGTTCAAGGTAAAAAAAAAAAAAGCCCCGAAAAGGCTTTAAACCTAGACCTTATTTTTAGAACCAGTTAACTAACATGAATTCTTTCAGTAAGGTGAATGAGAATATATAAAATAAATAACTCCTAAAAACTTTAGCACAATCAGACAAATCAATCTCAAGATATTTATCGCAGCGTGCAAAAAACTTATATATTGAGAAAAACAATAGTAAAGGTTTTTAATGAAAAATAATTTTTTAATATATAAAAAAGGTCAAAAAGTTATTGAAAAGCAAAATGACTTGAGCATTATTGAAAGCACAGAAAAAAAAAAAAAATGAAAACTCTAATATTTGAAAAGCATTTAACAAAATAGAATTAATCAATGAAAACTTGAATAAGAAATAACTACGTAAATAACTACAATAACATAAATTAACATAAATTTAATTTAAAAAATAACAGAAAACTAATATCTAAAAACTCCTACTTCATAAGATGCACCTTCAATATTATTTACTATATCTGTAAAATCTTTTCGTTTTGCACGGAGCAGCATTTTTCTTTGTTTTATTGAGTCAAGCGACTTCTTTTTCATCATCTTTATTCTTTTTTGGTCTATTTTAGTACAGTACTGAGTAGCAAATGTACCTCGTGTAACATTTAAGTATTCAAATATGTTCAGTATACCAGAAACACCATCGTTAAATGAAATTACAACTGATCCAACACTTATTTCTAAAGTGATACGGCAAACAAAAATCTCATTAGGACAACGCTTCCAAATGATAGCCTTAATGAACCAATTTGAGTTTTGAGTTTTGCCATGTAAACATCTATTAAGAGCTGATCATCACTATGGTCAAGGAAATGTGTTCAATTTTATTCCTAATATTAATTAGTATTCCAGGTTTTTCCTTGTAAGTTTTTGTGTTATTAATTTTATCACACTGATATTTACACCAAGAGTCATTAGTTTAAGAATACATATAGTGTCATAATTCAAAGCTCAAAGCATCTGAGCAGTGAAACAAAACAATACCAATTGCTTTTTTCATTTGGTAAACTGTTGAACCAATACTTTTCCACACTGCATTAGCATAATAATTTTAAAGCTTATTAATCAACTTTTTAGTTGATTAACTTAACTAACCTACTAATGATTTGCCACCTGCCAACTTGGTTTTGTCGGTGGATTTGAGTTTACGCAGTCTATTAACAACTCGCTTTTAATACAATCGATCACCAAAATTCTCCGTAAAAAAGTTAAATATTATGGAATTAAAGGAAATGTTTTAAAGTTACTTCAAAGTTACTTAAGTAACCGCAAACATGTTGTTTATAGTAATGAAGTTAACCCATCTAATTTATTAAACATAACCTGTGGGGTTCCGCAGGGCTCGATATTAGGACCCCTTCTCTTTCTCATTTATATTAATGATCTTCATAAAGCTTCTAATTTGATGCCAGTCATGTTTGCAGATGACACTAACCTCTTTTTGTCTGATAATAGCATAACTACATTATTTCAAGATATGAACATGGAGTTAACAAAAATATCTGATTGGTTTAAAATTAATAAACTTTCACTAAATGTTGAAAAAACAAAATGGACACTTTTTCATCCAGCGTCTAAAAAAAAATCTACTTCCTTGTGAACTACCTTTACTTTTTATTGATAAAATCCAAATAAAAATAGTAATTAGTGCTAATTTTTAGGGTATTTATGTTAATGAAAACCTTAGTTGAAAATACCACATTGAATTCTCGTGTAATAAAATCGCTAAAAGTAAAGGAATATTGTATAAAGCTAGAGGTGTGTTAAATAAACGTAGTCTAATTCAATTATATGTCTCTTTTATCCGTTGTCATTTAAACTATGCAAATATTGCTTGGTGCAATGCCAACAAATGTAAACTGGAGCCTCTTTATCGTCAACAGAAACATGTTGCTCGTTTTATTAATTTTAAAAACAGATTTACTCATGCCAAGCCTCTTTTATTTGAAATGAAAATTCTTAATATATATCAGCTGAATGTTTTTAATATCCTTTGTTTTATGTATAAATGTAAAACTAACTCTTCCCCAGTTTCTTTCCATAATTTGTAAACGCTGAAATATAAAAATAAATACAATTTAAGAAACGATTATTTAATTTGTCAACCATTTTTTCAGACTAATTTTGGAAAATCTAGTATTTCTAATCGTGGAGCTTTTCTTTGGAGCAAAATAGTTTTAAAACATTTTAATTTTTCTCTGCAATGAGTTATTTTTCATTCAGAAAATTTCATAAAGAAATCATTTTGTCTCATGATGATATATTGTCATATTTTAAACGTTATTAATTTGATGTATTATTTTAGTTTATTCAGTTGAATATTTATAAGTACATGCACTTAAATGTGATTAACTATATATACACTTGACTTAATATATGTATATATTAAATTTTATGAAGTTTTAATTCACGAGCGGTTCTTGGTGACAAGACCTAATGGTCTTCTGCGAGTCTCCGCGTTCTTTTTATATTAACAAAAAAGTCTTAGTTTTATCTTTAATTTATTTTTATTGAGTAACTTTTTTTAACAATCTAATTGTAAATTTTTCTTAACGATCTAATTGTAAATTTTTCCTAACGATCTAATCGTAAATTAATTAATTTTTCTTTGAATATATTGTAATAAGAACAAACAAAAAAAAAAACAAAAAAAAACAAAACTCGTTTTTGCACATGTTCTGCATATTCTAATTTTTTAACAACCAAACCTTGGTAGGGATCAATTTTTAAAACCTCAGCATGTGCTCTGGAATCCCCATCTCCAATGTAATGAGTATATCGAAGCCCCTTTTTATTTATAGATTTTATAAAACAATCTACAATTCCAGAAACTTCCATATATCCAGCAGAACCTTCGTAATTATTTAAACAATCATTGGTTTCCGAAAAATTTTTATAAAGTTATGGATTGTTATCTTTTTTTGATTCCCACGACGTACAGACATAGCATATTTTTAGAAGAACTCGTTAGTCAACAAATCCCTGAGTCACTAGCAATAGCAATAACAACATCGTTAAGTGGGGAATGACCCCTTTTTTTGCCAAGTTCCATCACAAGAAAAAATAATATTAGCTACTACATTAATATCAAAATCATTTGGTTGGATGTCTTTGTTAAGATATAGAAATTTATTTGCTGTATTTTTCATTTTCACATCAGCTACACCTTGGTATATGATATGAATTTTATCTTGAGTATCATAAAATGTCTTTATGTTCATTGGAGGAGGTTATTTCATTAGACCACAAAATTTATCTAAACCAGAATGACCTTTTCCCATCTTTCTCATGGCAACAACAAATTTATAATTTATTTCAAACGGTGACATTCCTGGACCTTGCCTTTCAATCTCTTTGCTAGAATAAAAAGAATTTTTCCAATCGCACAAAGATGTTGTACAAGAAATATTTAAAAACACATAAAACATAAAAAACAAAATAAAAAAATTTAAAAATTTAATAAATATTCCTCGAAAGGGATTTGAACCTGGTGCGCCTTTAATCCTTGCAACGGCTCTTACGCTACTGCATATTAGAACTCAAAATGTTAAAAAACAAATTTAATTAGGTAGTT